TGTGTGTGTGTGTGTGTGTGTGTGTAACATAATTTTTAAAAGCAAAAAAAGCAAAAAAAAACATCTTGTGAGAGGTATACGTGATCATAATTTTTATATCCAAAAGTTGAAGGGTATATAATTTGGGATAGTATTGTACATTGATCAAAATCATATATATTGCTGTGAAATTTAGGGCAAAGAAAAACAGGAATCGACACAAATTCAAAAGAAAAACACAAAGATTTAACGAGGTTCGACAAAGATGTCTACATCCTCAGGAGCTGAGCGGCGAATTCAGTATTTCAGAGGAGTTACATACCCATAGGGTTACACGTCTATTTATAGATAAACCCAAAGATAAATCAAAGAGACACACCTTTTCACACCAAGAGACACATCTTCATTCCATGAGGCACACCTCTCTAAATCCAAGAGACTCCAAATTCCTGGTATATGAGTCATACCTAACAATTCTCCACATTGGCGAATATTCAGCCCATTAGGAGAAAATATCTCCACCTTGCGAATATCCCTTGCGAATATCCAGCCCCTTAGAAGAAAAAATCATGGAGTTTCATACACCAAAGTGGGTTGGGCAATCATGCCAACTAGCTACTGCAAACATTCAACAAGTTCAAGTAACACAAGAAATTTTTGAAAATACCTGACTTGGTTAAAATACCTACTGCATTTTCATCATATGATCCGACGGAGTGAACTCTACCTGGAACTATACTCCCCAACAGTTTATAGATATTACCATCAGGTTTCAAGCTCGTAATGTCTTCAAAATTCCTTGTTCTGCCAACAAATCTTTCACCTTTGTTTGCCACAATCCGAAGTTCCCGGTTCCATTGAACTTCATTATCTCGAATTTTGCACCAGACATTGCCATTTGAAATTAATCATCTAGTAAACTTTTCCTGTCTTGTATTGAAACAAAACACACCACAAATAAATTCAAATAAATCTGAAATTTTCTCTGTCAATTGCAGCAATTTTCCCACTATTTCCTATGATTAGTGGATCAAATTTTTCACACGAAGCACCTTTCCTGTTAGCACAAAAATGCAGTCGAAATACTGCGAACACTAGCCGAACTTCATCTGTCAAAATTTCTCTTGCGACAAACCTGCGAACAATCTGAGAAATTCGTAAACTCTATCTGTCGCAATTTCTCCTGTGACAAATACACCTGCGACAAACTTGCGAACTACATTGGTCGTGCACCACCTGTCGCAACTGCACCTGCAGCAACTCCTCCTGCGACAAACTTGCAAACTCCTCTGGCCGAGCACCACATGTCGCAACTGCACCTGCTGCAACTCCTCTTGCATGCAACTCCTCTTGCAACAAACTTGCGAACTCCTTTGTTCGAGCACTTGCGAACACCTCTGACCGAGCAACACCTGTCGCAAATGCACCTGCCGCAACTCTTCTTGCGGCAAACTTGCGAACTCCTCTGGTTGAGCACCACCTGTCGCAACTGCACCTGCTGCAACTCTTGCAACAAACTTGCAAACTCCTCTGGACGAGCACCACCTGTCGCAATTGCACCTGCCGCAACTCTACCTATGACAAACTTGCTAACTCCTCTGGTCGAACACCACCTGTCACAACTACACTTGCCGCAACTCTACCTGCG